GGCACTCGGTGTGGGGGCGGGGGGCATTGTCAGAGCCACAGCTGCGGTCCACCGCCAGAGCCAGGGCCACGCAGGGAGGCGGCAGGACGCCCTGCCTGCCCGCCAGGCCGGAGACCCAAACCCTCTGCTGTCCCCTGTGCCGCCTGCTGGGGTAGCAAAACCTGCACACGACAATATAACCTGCCCAGTGGTAACAGTGAAGATGAATGCCACGAAGGCGTCACCACGAAGGTGTCACACAAGAGGAGCACTTGCTGTGACAGTCACAAGCCCCCGAGCGCACCCACCCCTGGGACTGTGCGGATGGGCCATGTTCACGCCATCAGCCCCGCGGAGGGCAGTAATGACCTCTGCGTGATGCGCTCTACACAGTAGCCCCACAGGACCAACCCTACTTGGGGCAGGGGAGGGGGATTCAGGAGCACAGCCCCTGGTGTCCCCAGCAGGAGGGGACCTGCTCGTTGCTTCCGGCACCGCCTCACAGCCCGGGACAGCCCCCAGCTGACTTAAAGGGCCTGGTGGGAGACTCGGGCCCCTCTAAGTCTGGCCGCCCCCTGGCAGCGTCTGATCCCATCCAGGGCCACAGGTGACAATCCCGCTCTGGACGGACCACTGCGAGCCACCTGTACGGCATCTGGTGGGCCAGCTCGGAAAAACTAACGTGGGTGATCCGTTTGCTGTCGGCTGCACACAGAGCTGAAGGAAGCAACGTTTAAAGACGTGCCCGCGTCGAAGCAGAAACGCGTTCCAGGCTTCAGGTCACCTTCGCGGCCACTCCTCACGGGCCCCTCGACTGGTGCAGAGGAGGACGGAAGCCCACACTGCGGTCGTGACCTGCAGGACCCGGGACTGGCGCTGCCCCCGCTCGGGGCTGTGGCCCAGTGTGTCTCCTGCTGCACCAAGTTCTCATCTGTGACTGATGAATGATCCACCTTAACCTGGTTTCCCAGACGTTTTGAGTAGAAGCGTTTGTTTGCCAGCTTTGTCCAGAAGCTCCGAGTCTTCTGTCTTGGCTTGGTCGGCCTATTTTTGCCATTTTCTCTTTCTTCTCCTTTAGCGAGCGGGGTGTGAAAACGTTGTCATCGTGACTGCTCTGTGCAAGCGTGTGGCTGCATCCGCGTGGGCTCAGCACGGGGCACCGCGACCCCGCGCCGCTGTCTGGGGAGCTCAGATTCGGAACGTGTGTGTGGGCTCCAGACACGGACGGGACGTTCCCGCAGCACTGTTACGAGCTTCGTGGTGGCGTTGTGTCTCCGGCCTCACTGCCCAGAGCGCGGGGGACCTGAGGCACGCCGTTCCGTTTCCAGATGCCTGGGCCCAGGCAGGCCTCCTGGGTGGGGACGGGGCTCGGGGCCGAGGTGGCCGTGGGGCGGGAAGGGCAGGGTCTGGCGGGCCGTGGGTGCGCTGCTGCCCGTTCTGGCGGAGGTCACACGGACACCTCGTTCCGCGAAGGCCCACGCGCCGTGCGACGATGGTTTCTGCCCCTTCTACATACACGTACGTTACGCTGCCAAATAAAGTGGACAGAAAGGCTGTGGTCACTTCGGAGAGCGTCACCAGACGGCTGGTGATTGTCACAGTCCTTTAGCTCGCTAATTTTCACAGAATCGGATTCCGACCTGTTTTCTTTTCCTTTTTGGCACGATCTATACCCAGACTTCAAGGGTAACCTTTGTTTTCTTCTTTCTAAGTATTTATACACATGTAAAAAGACCGCGTCCGCGCACATACAAACGCTCAACAAAACTGTTTCCTGTCGGTGTCGAAGATGATGGATTAGGGCTTAATGCACAAATTCGACCTGGAATAAGCGCGTTCCTTGACTTGCTTGTAGCGGTTCGTTTAACGTTCAAATTAAAGGTTCACAGCGAAGCAGTGACTCTTTTCGCTGTTTTTACTCTCCAGGTTGACCCGATCGTGGAAGAGCATCATGAGTGTGGTGTTTATACTGACGTTTTTCCTCGTGGGTAAGTCTTACCCAATAATGACCCTTGAAGCAGGTTTTGGCTTTTTCATATTTTTTTCCTGTTAGCATTTTGGATGTGTCGCCACATTTCCTTCTGGCCGTCGTGGTTTCCGAGGAGAAATGGGACGGCTCCTCGTGCAGAGCAGGAAGCGTTTCTCTTGTTGCTTCCAAGATTATATGGTGTATGAATGAAATGAGAACGTCAGTATACAAATTATAAAAGGAACCACATATCAATTCTGGAGTGAAAAGTAACAAAAAACTATAATGAAAATACTGATTTTTGACCGACTGAGTACATGGTGTCTTGGTAGAAGTCTCTTTAAGTTTATGCTAGTTAGAGTTTGCTGAGCTTCTTGGATGTGTAGATTTATGCTTTTCATCACACTGGGAAGTTTTTGCTCATTATTTTTTCGAATATTCCTGCCGCCTTCTGAGACTCCCAGGATGTGTCCAGCGGTGCTGTCCTGCAGGTCGCTCAGGCTGTGTTCACGTTCTCTGTCCGTTTTTCTGCTCCTCCTGCCCAGACTCGATCATTTTAACTGTCCTACCTTTGAGGTCATCGATTCTTCCTTCTGCCGCCCAAATCTGCTCCCAAGCTGCTCTAGTGAAATTTCTTTTTTAAATTTCGGTTGTATTTTCGTCTGTCCTACCTTTGAGGTCATCGATTCTTCCTTCTCCCGCCCAAATCTGCTCCCGAGCTGCTGTAGTAAAATTCCTTTTTTAAAATTTCGGTTGTATTTTCATTATAGTTTTTTGGTACTTTTCACTCCAGAATCGATATGTGGTCCCTTTCATAATTTCCATACTGACGTTCTCATTTCACTCACACATCATTCCTTAGGTTTTCTCTAGTTCTTTACCCGCGGTTCCCTCTACTGTCTGAGTGTGTTGAGGCAGCTGGTTCGCAGTCTGTGTCCAGAAAGTCCGACGTTGGGCTTCCTCAGGGATGGTCTCAGTCATTTTCCCCTTTAACGGGTCACCCCTGCCCGCTTCCTCGTGTGCTCGGTCGTTTGGTGTTGGAAACTGGGCTTTTCACTGTTATACTATGGTAAGTCCGGAAATCAGACTTTCCCCCTTCCCAGGGGCTGCTGCCACTGCTCGCCGAGGGATGCAGTCACTCGTTTGTTCAGTGGTGGGCCCTGTCCTGACATCTCAGTGGTCAACCAGTGACCGGACAGAGATTTGCTGGGGGGGGGCTGGGGGAGAGGGAGCGCGGACTGCTGCCGGGTCTGGACCACCTGGCCCTATGCTGGGACTCGCTCCCAAGGCTAAGCTGGGTGCCCCGCACTCGGCCTTGACCGCCACCTCCCGCTTGCACAGAGCCTGCGGAGCCACCGAGGTGCAAGCACAGGGCCACTCTGAGGTCCCTTCTGAGCGGGCACACTGCATCCCCTGCCCGCCCCCCCAAGCCCGCATCCTCACAGGAGACCTCCTCCTCTGCCTCCCCCTCCCACGCTTTTGAGTCTGTCGGCCACTTGCCTCACTCACTGCCTGGTGGCCGGTTCGTGACTTCGTATCTTTCAACAGACCCTACAGCCTCCCAGGAAGCCATTCTAGCCCAGGGGAGTGGGATGAAGCAAAGGGCAGGCTCCGTGCCACCGACTCGGGGTCCCTGGGCAGGTCAAAACGCGGTCACAGCAGTTTAAGAACAAGGCCCGCGTGCGGCCACCGGCACTGGCCAGCTGCACTAGGAATGCAGACTGCCACCCCCACGGCCACTGCCACCATGCTGGCGAGCGGGAGGTGCCAGGCAGAAATGCCACGCTGCTCTCTCAGCGGAAATGATCTGCTCTTTTCTTCAGGCCTCTGGTTGCTGTAAATTTTGGGTTAGATTTCAGAATTAAAAACAAAGTTGACCGTGTTAATCTTTGCCAACTTATAGTTGTTTCAACGAAGGACGAATTTTCTGAGCACTCTGTGCTGCCATTTTCCATATCATCTCCCAAAGGTCTGATAGCCTTGTTGAAAGTATATATATCCTCTACGCTTAGAGAAATTCCTATTAATACACACAAAATATCGTATAAATGTTTCTAAGTAATCTCTTTAATCAGAGTTGGTCTTTTAACAGGATTTAGAAATCACGTGTGGCTTAGAGAAACAGGGCCGCCTCAGAAATCCCGACGATTTTATGCTGTAATTACAGAATATGGTTCAAGGCTTTATAATTACCAGGTGAGGTTTCGTTAAATCATCTTATATGACATTCGTTTAAAATTTAATGTGCTATAAAGTGAGTCCAATGTGCAATCTTACCTTTGTTTTGCACGTGAACATCTAACAGAAGTAATGTAGGGACCAGAGCTCTATTACGTGGTCTTAGCTAAGCCCAGTCTTTCCCACGACGGTGCGGCTTCGCCCGGCCATTTCGCCGCTGACCAGTGTTCACTGTGTCCTTCACGCAGGTGAGAGCTCTGCTCGAAGTCACCTAAGACCTACTGTGACTCATTTCTCGGTGGTCTCCGTATACAGCCCCAACTACTTGCTTCGGAAGTTGTTTCCTGGCTTGTTTTTTATTCGATTAACAATAGATTTTAAACGCACTCTCGTCTTTAGATATTATTTTGCAACTTCGTTTTATGACTGACTAATAACCCAGTGAATAATATATTCGGTAAATATTTTGAATTTCAATTCAATAAATTCAAAATTATTTACCGAATATATTATTTACTGAATCGTTTGCAATTTTTCAACATTATAAACATAAACTCACTTGTTGCTAAATCTTTAAATCCATCCTTGATTTTTCACTTAGGATAAACTCCTAAAAGCCAGATAAACAAAAGATCGTCCCAAAGTTAGGCGACCTTTTTATACGGAATCGGAATTGTAGTGACTTAATACTGCCCTTCAAAGCCAGCTTGCCTCCCATCTCCTCCACCCCCCACGGGGAATGGGGTGATAACTGTGCACCAGAAGGGGCTGGAAGCACCTCAAATACATATTTCCTTTTATTCTCAAAATGACCCCTCGAATAGAGTATTACAAAGCCACGTGCGGATGAGGAAGCCGAGTAGAACGGTTAAGGAGCTCGTGTGTGTGCCGAGGGCGGCAGGGCCGTAAATCCCGGGGCTGAAACTCAAAGCCAGGCTTCGCTGGCACCGCCCGCCAGGCCCAGCCACGTACGCTGAGGACTCAGTTTTGCTGCCACGTGTCGCACGGCCTCGGCGACCGTGTAACCACCGTCACCATCAGGAGCTCGAGGCCGTGACTGCACGGCGGCCGCCCTAGACTCTTGATTGGTTTATATCCAGAACTCTGCACAGAGCAGCTCGCCTAAGCATCCCCCAGGGGCACCGTCAGCAACTGATACATCTTCTGGGGTCGCCGGAAGTCACGGGTTTGAAATTAGGTATCTTGCGGGAATTCTGTTAAGGACAAAAAAGGACCGGCCACGTGAGGCCTTGTGAACGCCGTGTGCACCGGCTGGAGCCGCGCTCGGGTGCGAACCTTCGGTCTCGGCGTGCGCTGCGTGGATGGAGCAGAGTGGAGCCGCCGAGGACGTCGGCGTGGCCCCGCACGGGGACCACGGGGACCACGGGCACATCGGGAGCCTTCCGCCGTTCTCGGCGAAACCGCTGGGCGACAACACGTCGGGCGGTGGCTCTGTGCGCAGCAGCCCTGTGCACGGCCGCGTCCTC